AAGTTTTTAAGAAGAGACTGGACAGCCATTTGTCCGAAATGGTATAGGGTTTCCTGCCTGAGCAGGGGGTTGGACTAGATGACCTTCAAGGTCCCTTCCAACTTTACTATTATTATTATTATTATTATTATTATTATTATTATTATTATTATTATTATTATTATTATTATTATTATTATTATTATTATTATTACTATTAGGGTTTCCTCAATAGTGGGATTCAAATATGTGAACAACCGGTTCTGTGCATAGATGTCGCTTCCGGAAGTCCATTCTGGGCGGGCAACAAAAAATTAGCTACAGGTGCTGCCAAAGTGGTGCGAACTGGCTGAATCCTACCATTAGGTTTCCTGCCTGAGCAGGGGGTTGGACTAGATGACCTCCAAGGTCCCTTCCAAATTATTATTATTCCTGCCTAATATATAATACTAATAATTGCTACATAATATTTAAAGATTGTTAAATTTGATATCATGTATCGCCAGCCCAAGATTTCGGGCACTTTAAGCGACCGTGATGCGTCAGTTTTTAATCCCTTAATCCCGAGCCCATCCGCACCTCGATTGATTCCATGGAATTATTCGCCATTGAGGAAGAAGGGAAAACTGGGATCCAAGCCTCTTGCCAGCCAATTACGCGAGCCGGTGCGCGACCAGGGAGGGAAACCGCGCTCAACTCAAACTCAACCAGGAGATAGGAGGGAAAAGCGAAGACGGGGAAAGGCAGCAGGCCTGAACTATAGAGAAACACCACGCCCCGGGAGAGTCCTGGGCACTTTCTGAGCACTTGTGCTTGTGTTGCCAGTTGCCTTTTTCCAGCTGGAGAGCAGGAGGGGCGTGACGCCCTGAGCTGCGGGCAGAAAACAGACGCTAAAAGCGGGAGCGCTTAGTTTTCCCTTTCTCCCTCTCCGTCTGAGCGAGCGAGAGAGCGAAAGGAAGAGAGAGAGAGAGGCACCTGATGAACGAAAGCTCCGCCTCCGCGCCTTTAAGAGAGCGGCGGGTTATCTCCTTCGACCACTTGAAGCCCCGAAGGCGGCTCGCCAAAGGCTGGAGCGCCGCGATGGAAGGGGACCGTCTCGGGCTCCGCTCCCATTCGCCGCCGGGGCTGCTCCGTTCGCCCTTCGCCCGCGCAACATGACTTTCCGCGGGCTTTATGGGGGCCGGCTCAACTCCACGCAGTTCGCCATGGCCCCCCTCAACGCCGCCGGCTGGAGCCGGGCGAAAGGCAACGGCAGCGGGACGTTCGCGGAGCAATGCGCCTCCGTGTCGGTGGCTTTCCCCTTGACCATGATGATCACGGGCATGGTGGGCAACGGACTGGCCATGCTGCTAGCCTACCGAGCTTACCAGAAGAAGGAGAACCAGCGGAAGAGGCCGTTCTTGCTGTGCATTGGTTCCCTGGCCCTGACGGACCTCACCGGGCAGCTGCTGACCAGCCCCGTGGTCATCACAGTGTACTTGGCCAATCGGAAATGGCGAGAAGTGGACCCTTCCCAGCGCCTGTGTGCCTTTTTTGGCTTGGCCATGACCGTTTTTGGTCTTTGCCCTCTCTTCATCGCAAGCGCCATGGCAGTGGAAAGGGCCCTGGCTATCCAGGCCCCCCATTGGTACACCGGCCACATGAAGACCAGGTTGACCAGGACTGTTCTACTTTGTGTGTGGCTGAC